CGATGGAGCTCCCTATGAGCTCCCGATAGAGCGCTCACGGAACGTGTAAGGTGTTCGTCGACATGGGGCGAGTCACCATGCGGACGCGGCCACTGGGGCCTTCGGGGGCTTCGAAACGTGTGAGGGGTGCGCCGAAATTGACCCGAGCCACTATGCGGACGCAACCACGGAGACCTTCGGTGGAACTCCTTTTGGGGCGACGAAGCGTGTGAGGGGTGCGCCGGAATTCGGCGAATCCTCATACGGACGCAGCGACGGAGGCCTTCGGTGGAGCTCCCTGTGGGGCCACGAAACGTGTGAGGGGTGCGCCGAAATTTGGCGAGTCACAGTGCGGACGCAGCCGCTGGGGCCTTCGGTGGAGCTCCCTATGGGGCCACGAAGCGTGTGAGGGCCACCGCAAGGAGGCGAGTCATCATGCGGACGCAGCCTGTGGGGCCTTCGGTGGAGCTTTCCATGAAGCTCACGAAACGTGTGAAAGGTGCGCCGACATGGGTCGAGTCACCGTGCGGACGCAATCACTGGGGCCTTCGGTGGTGCTCCCTGTGAGGCCACGAAACTTGTGAAGGGTACTCCGAAAGCTTCATGATGATGGTGATGATGGTGGTTGTGCGCATTCGAGATGATGATGATGCTGCTGCTGATGATGATGGTGAAGATGGTGATGATGCTGATGATGCTGATGCTGATGCTGATGATGCTGCTGCTGATAATGATGACGAAAATAATAATGATGCTGATGATGCTGATGATGATGCTGTTGATAATGATGGTGCACGTTATGATAATGGTGGTGGTGCTGATGCTGACAAGGGTGAAGAAGAAGGCGAAAGAAAAAAGGAGAAGCAGAAAGGATGAGGAGGAGCAGGAGAAGGAGAATGAGACGCGCGGCGCTGCGAATTCAAAATGAGGACCCAACACACAGGAGGATAGGGGAAACACAGATAACCAAACACATGTCCCTGGACTAGAAGAGCAGCCAATGGCATTCACATGCTTTCTTCGAGGGTCGCGCGGATTTCTTGGATCGGCGCTGGGCCCCCCCCTCCCTTGCGCGCGGAGTGGCGCGCCGCCAGGGGTTGGCCAGCGCCGATCCACGAAACCCGTGCGGATCTCAGAAAAATCATGGCAGTGCCTTTTGTTGTTATTGTTGTTGTTGGTGTTGTTGCTGTTGCTGTTGCTGTTGCTGTTGTTGTTGTTGATGATGCTGTTGATGTGATTCGATGGTCCCCGCTGAGATCTGACGTCGCGACCAACACATACAATATCGGTGACACTGCATGACCAAAGCCCGAAAACCCATTTGTCTTAAATCACTTTTCGAAGCCGATCGGTCTATAGGGACCCGGCAGGGGCCCGAAGCTGGGCGAAAACGCCCAATGGGAAACAAAAGTGCACCTCCTGGGTCTCAAGGGACGGCGAAAGCTCACCCGGCTTGTCATTCGGGCCTCCGGCGGTGGTTCGGAACGGCTCGGGCACCCCGCGAAACAAATGACAACTCGTGGATCGCAGGGCCCCCCCCCCCAAACATCCTCCGATCTGATTTTTCGAACCGCTGCCCCAGAACTCCCAATCCTTTCCCTGGTGGGGAGTTTTTTCGCCCTGGATCCGTTTCTGATAGCGCTGGGGCCCGACCACGGACTCTAGAAGCCGAAATCGAGGAACATCGCACAGACTGAAAAAATATCCCAGCAAAGCCCCCTAATATCAGCGAAGGTGAAGAAGCGTGTCGAGAAAAAGGAGGTCGAGATACCGCACAACCATGGGGACTTTGTCGTATTTTTGTGATATGGGACCGTGGCCGTCCGAACCAAAAATGTAGCTGGCATTGTGGCGAGAGCGCGATTCCTGAATCAATTGTGAGGAGGTCTCAGGCGAAACGGTGGGGCTGCCGGACTGGGCGGTCTAGGGCTCCCCGACCCCCCTTGTGAGACTCCTCTGCGTTCCTTTGCTGGCTCTGTAGAACCCTCTTGCGGAACGCCATTCCCAGATATCCGATGTCTTGACTTTCTCCATGCGGGGTCCCCAGAGGCCTGGACCTTTTCCCCTGTGCCGGCTCTCCATCCGGCCTGAGTCGTTTCTTGGCGGTCCCGGGGCCCAGCGAGGCCCCCAGAGACCCAGAACTGCGAAAGCCATACGCCTTGAGCTTCTCGAGACGTTGGAGGTCTGGGTTGGGTGGGAGACAACACATCGTCGGAGATTTGCCCCCCGGCGGCCCGAGCCGCGCCCGATCGTGGACGCGCGGCAGGTCATGAGTTTTTTCCGACCCCTGTCCCTCCAGGGCGTTTAGGCCGATGATGAGGAGGAGGAGGAGGAGGAGGAGGAGGAGGAGGAGGAGGAGCGCACGTACCCAGGGGAGGGACGGTGCAGGCTAGCGGCGGAGCGTCGCAAAGCGGCACTCAGATGATACCGTCGAAGATACCGCCGAATATGAATATGGAAGCGACCCCGTCGAGGCCGCAGGAGACGCCACCGAGGGCGACATTGGTGTAGAAGACTTTGATGACGCCGCAGAATGCGGCGAGGAAGAACCACCAGAGGAGGGCCAGAGCTCCAGCGAGCCAACCAACTGGTCGTCCAGGATGTTGTTGAACTGGTTGATGCACTCCTCGCCCTGGAAGCTTGCGAGTAGGGTGTCGTAGTACAGGGCCGCCGTCGATGGAGAGGAGGCGCACGACGTGGTAGGAGCCGTGCACGCCGCTGAAGAAGCCTCCTCCCTTGTTTGCTCGCAATTCTTGGTTTGGTGCATGATCTGTGCGAGGTCCTCCCGCCACTCTGCATCTCGGATGTCCAGGTCCGCGAAGGTGACGAAAGCGGACTCCTTGATCAAGCCCGTCTCCTCGACGAGTTTGGTGAACTTGTTCATGTTGTGCTTCTGTTCTTCGAACATCTGCAAGAGGACGTCATGCTTGTCACCCTGGTCCAGCTCACGCCCAGGCAGTCTGTTACGGACAACACCATCGTCTTGTGGGCGCTGTACCTGAGCGGCCTCCATAGCCTCCACGCGCTGTGTCAGCACGGCCAGCTCCTTGATGTACTCCGTGCTATTCTTCTGCAAGCTCGTGACGACCATATCGGTGATCTGTATGGAGATGTCTTCTATGGTCTTCGTGAGCGTGCTGAGCAAGTCCGTGGTGAGCTGGTCTAGCGATTCGCATTTCACGTATTTCTTCATGTGCTTCTCAATTGCCTCGTCACAGTTGGCGCCCTGGTACTTCCCCTGCTCCTTGACGTAGGCGAGCTGCGGCTGTTGTGCCGCTGTGTCGTCCAGCTCCGAGTCAGTGCTGCAGTTCTGCGGCTTGTCCTTGTCATGCTTCACTGGCTGGCCCGAGGCGTGCTGCAGCTGCATGCCCCGTTGTCGCCGATCGGGTGGGTACGGGATGAAGCCCATCTCGTACGCACGTCGCCGACGCTTATGGACTTTGCTCGCAGAGCGGGCGCCTCTCCGACGAGGAGCAGTCGGAGCCGTAGAAGAGGTCGACGGCGAAGCAGAAAACGCCGCAGAAGCAGCGAGGAGCGAGCCGCCAGCACCGTGCATTGTGTAGTTCAGCACCGCGAATGCGATGAACGTGGCCACGGCGCCCAGAAGCCTCATGGCGCCATGGAGCTCCGCGCGCGCGGAGATGACCGCCCCCTCGCGACAAGGAGGAACGCTCGCGGGCGCGCGGTGCGGCTGCGAGCTGCCCAGCTCAAGAAACTTGAGCCAAAATGGCAACGGAAGGAGGAGGAGGAGGAGGAGGAGGAGGAGGAGGAGGAGGAGGAGGAGGAGGGGACTGGGGTAAATGTTTGCCCTTCTGAGCCCCCCCCCCCGCCCTGCTGCGAGGCCTTCGAGGCCTGCACGAGGAAGCCGCACGCCGGCAGCGGCCCGGGCCGGGCCGCGCCACCGCCCTTCGGCGCCATGCCATCGAGGCGGCGGGCAGCCCCCCCCGGCGGGCCCGGGGCGTCAGCTCGGCGAGCGGAAGCGCACCCCGGCGGCTGAGATCTGGGCGCTGCAATGTGTGTGTGTGTGTGTGTGTGTTCGCCCCCTGAAAGAATGATGCCACGACGTCGTCGTCCTTCTCCTCCTCCTCCCCCGCCTCCGCCTCCTCCTCCTTCCTCCTCCTCCTTACCCTTCTCTTCTTCCTTTAGAGGCCTCCTACATGGGGTCCGCGCAGATGCGCAGTCGGGGTCGGAGGATCGCGCCGCATCGCCACTGTATCGACGATGCACCGGCGATGCATCGGCAATGCATTGTCGACATCGGCGATGTATTGGCGACGTCGGCGTGGAGAAAACCGGGCGGCACATCGAGCCGCATCGCCGATGCATCGACGACGCGGCTCGATCCTCCGACCCCATCTACTCGGACCCCATCGAGGAGGCCCAGATCCTCCTCCTCCTCCTCCCTCGTCTCCTCTCACTCCTTCTCCTGGTCCTTGTCGTCGGCTTTCTCGTGCCTGCTCCTGCCCTCCTCGGGGGTCGGCGGACTGGCGCAGGCCTCTCCAATCAAGACGGAGGTGTTCCATCGTTTTTTCGGCCTCTGGGAGGCTCCCTGGGTCCCACGACCGGCTGGAGGCGCCGCACGGGGGTTCCAGCGCAGACTCAGGAACTCTGCGCGACGCTCCGCAAGTTCGTGCGTATTTGGCGGCGGGCATAAGGGAGCATGGGGAGGGGGGAAGGCTTCTCAGAACGAGGCTGCTTTGAGAAGGTGCCGGCCTCGCATCTGTAAATTTGACGAGGCGCGCACCTGCTGAGAAGCAGGGGTGCTTCTAAGAGGCCTCCCCCTTGCCCCCCTCCCCCTTTTCTGCGCGTGCCTCAATAAAGACGCGGGGGCGGGCGGAGCGGTGAGGGCGGTGCGGAGGCGGCGGCGAGGCTGCAGAAGGCTTGGGGAGCGCGCGGGGGTGTCGGCTGGCCCGCCCTTCGCCTGGCGGGTCGGCCAGCCAGTGGCGGCTCCGTCGAAGCTGGAAGATCTGCCCGCATTCGGCTTCGCGCGCGGGGCGGGGGGGGGCGGAGGGCGGCTCGTGTCTTTGCGATCGGCGGCCACAGCTTGTCAGGTACTCCGCCCGGGATTGAAACATCTCGTCGGGCCACCTCCTGGCTGCGGAAGCGGGAAGTGCCTTCGCTGAAAGCAAAGCGTTCCCTCACAGTCGGGTGCGCCGAGGGAGAGGGGCCAGGGAGAGGGGGCCCAGGCAGTAAGAGGGTGTGCACCACATTCGTGGCCCGAGGCGTGTGCATGGACGAGGGATGGGCAGGGGACGTGTTCAGGCGAAGGACGCTGAATTCTAGGAGATCTCATGGCCCTGGTCATGATATCCACTCCACGCACTTACTCCGTGGCGTCGCGGCCACGCGCGCCGCAGCGCAGCGGATCCGGGCTAAAGCTGAAGAAGATACGCGGACCGAAACCAACTCGGAGGCAGCAGGGGCATGCCGAGTCCGCCCATGGAAACCGACACAAGCACAACACACAAGCACAAGCACAAGCACAAGCACAAGCACAAGCACAAGCACAAGCACAAGCACAAGCACAACCACACACACAACCCACACACCCACACACATTTGGGCGGTCGTGGCGTCGCGCGCAGCGACGAGGCGGAGCAAGTCGAGCAAGCGGCACGGAACTAACGCGCGCGGCAGAGCCCCCTGAAGAGGGACCACTTTTGGGCCGCCCGTACATGAGCCACCCGGCGTGGGTGGCGAGTGAGAAAATCGAGGCAGCGTCCGCAAACGGAGACGGTGGTACCCGACGAACGACGTCGATGGGGTGCGGAGAATGCGCCCGGGCTGATGATCCGACGAGCCGGGCTGCCGGAGGGGCTGCCCTCGGTAGGCTGGCCGACAGGGGCTGGCCTACGACTATGCACGCACACAGACGCACCCACGCTAACAAACACGCACACGCACACACACACACACCCGTACACACGCACACACATACACTCATTCATAGACATAGACACAGACACTGACACAGGCACAAAAACACACACGGACACAGACACAGACACATATACACACACGCGCACACACAACACACAAACACACAAACACACACACGCACACACACACACCAACACATACACACACAAGTCACACACACACACTTGTTGGCGTCGCGGCCTTGCGCGCAGCGTCGAGGCGTAGAAGGACACACAAACAAACCAACACACAACACACACATACACACACACGCACGCACGCACGCACGCGCACTCGCACAAAAACGCACACGCACACGCACACGCACACCCACGCGCACACGAACACGCACACGCACGAGCACAGCACGCGCAAAACCACACGCACACCCACACACCCATACCCACACGCACACGCGCACGCACACGCACACCCACGCGCACACGAACACGCACACGCACGAGCACAGCACGCGCACAACCACACGCACACCCACACACCCATACCCACACGCAGACGCGCACGCACACGCACGCGCACACGCACGCGCACACGCACAAGCACACGCACACGCGCACGTGCACGCGCAAGCGCACGCGCACATGCACACGCACACGCACACGCGCAAGTGCATGCGCAAGCGCACGCGCACGCGCACGCAGACTCAGGCGCACATGCACACTAACACGCACACGCACACGCACACGCACGCGCACAAACACGCACGCACGCCCAATGCACACACATATGCACACGCACACATACGCACAAACACACACACACAAACACACACACACGCACACACACACACACACACACGCACGCACGCACGCACGCACGCACGCACGCACGCACGCACGCACGCACCCCCCCCCCCCCCTCACACACACACGCGCTTTTTTTCGATAGCAGCCTCGCGCGCAGCGACGGGGCGGAGGCAGTCGGACACAGAGCGAACGCAGAGAGCTCACACACACAACGCACACCACACAACACACACACACACACCCACTTGCACGCACACAACACACCACACACAACGCACACAAAGTATAGCACACACCACACACAACACAGACCACCACACACAACACACAGACAAACACACACACACACACCACATAACACACAACACACGAAGTACACGCACATGCACATGCACACTGGCACGCACATGCACATGAACATGCACACGCACACGAACTCACACACACACACACACATACACGCACACGCAAACGCACACGCACACGCAAACGCACACGCAAACGCACACACACACACACTTACGTTTTCACTTACGCTTGCGCTTACGCTTACGCTGACGCGCACGCGCACACGCACAACCTCACGCACACGTACAGGCACACGCACGCGCACACGCACATGCACGCGCACACGCAAACGCGCACAAACATACACGTGCACACGCACACACACACACACACACACACACGCACACGCAAATGCACACGCACACGCGAGCGCACCCGCACACCCACACACCTACGTATCCACACGCCCACACACTCCCACACACCCGCACACCCACACACACATGCACACTCACATGCCCAGACACACACAGACACGCCGACACAAAGACACACACGCACACAGCCACACACACACACACATACACACACGCAGACACACCGACACAACGACACAGAAGCACCCCGACGCAGAGACACACAGACATACACAAACACGCACACATACGCACACGCACAGACACACGCACACACACACACACACACGCCACGCACGCACACACACACGGACCCACACACCCACACATGTACAACACACACGCACCCCACACATGCACCACTTCTTGAGGCCTGGCGCGCGGCGACGAGGCGGGGTACGTCGAAGCACACACACACATCGACACACGCACACACTCATGCACAAACACACGCACGCGCACACACACACACACCCACGCAGGCACACATAGGCACACACAGACACGCGCACACACACAACACACACACTCACACACACAAACACACACGCGCACCCATACACACGCACACACAACGCACACACACAAACACACAACCACACACACGCACTGACACACACACACACACACACACCGACACACACACACACTCACACACATCACACATTCACACACCCACGCGCACATGCACACGCATATGCGTACCCACACCCTCACCCATACCCACACCCACAAGCACACTGACACAAAAAACACACCGGCACACACATCCACACACACCCATGCCCACACCGAACCTCACATGCACACGCACGCGCACAAGCACGCAAGCACGCACGCACGCACACGCAAACTTGTTGGCGATAGCAGCCTCGCGCGCAGCGACGGGGCGGATACAGTCGGACACAGAGCGAACGCAGAGCGCAGACACAACACACAACACACAACACACATACACACCCACTCACACACATTACACAACACACAACGCACACGACACATAGCACACAACACACACACAGCACACGCACACAACACACAGACACACACACACACCACACAACACACACAACGTACACACAACACATAACACACAATCCACGCAACACAACGCACAACAGACACACACACACACATACACACACGCACACACAACACACAACATATACAACGCACGCACACACACACGCACAACCACACACCAACACACACATAAACCATTACACACATGCACACACCAAAACGCACACAAACGCACTCACACCCACACCACACACGCGCAGACGCTCACACTCACACTCACACGCACACGCACACACTCACACACACACACACACCGAGTGCTCTCAACCCTCTCCTGGGCGCCCCCGACACTTGCACCCTCCCTCGGATGCCCGGGGGTGGGCAGGCGAACTAACGCCAGCCCCGTCGGGCCACGCACGCGGGCGGGCGCCGGCTTCTGGACGCCCCGCCGAGCTCCCTGCTGGACCGCGCCGCCGCAGCACGAGCGTGGTCGGCCGCGGCGGCCGCGGGCTGAATGCAGCCGCGTCCTGAGGAGGAGCTTTTGCTCGGGTGCTGTAAGCAAGTGAAGTGCCAGCGCGGGGCTTAAGCCGCAGCTGGGGGATTCGCGGAGCGAAAACAATGCCTGCGGGCACCGCCGCCACGCGGCGTGCTCCAAGCAAGCGGTGCCTCTTCGTCCAAATGGCGACTCGGCATGCAGGACCGTCACCTCCCCAATCGGCAAGGACCTCAAGTCCCCCGGGTTGAACCCTAAGGAAGACAGGAGGAGGAGGAGGAGGCGGAGGAGGAGGAGGAGAAGGAGCCTCTCTCGCTCCTCCTCCTCCTCCTTTTCTTGCTGTGTCTTCCCGTGTCGTCCCGGTCCGTCGGTCTCACTCCTGCCTGGGGCCGCCGCACCTTTTGGTTGTGGCGCCGCCGCCTGTTACAGCGCCCGCCCCCCGCCAGCGATGCTCTGCTGCTGGGGCGACGAGGGGCGGGGGCGAGGGCTTCGCCCCGACAGGAGGAACCAGCGCGTAGCCTCGAGCCTCGAGAAGGAGGCGGAGAAGGAGGAGGAGGAGGAGAAGGACCAATGTAATTCCAAGACACATCAACGATACTGCAATAAACCCTCCCTCCAAATTACCTCTTCGTTGGCTCCTACACGGATTCATTTTCATTCAAGGAAATGCCCCTGTTGAAAGACAGACAAACGTTTGAAAATCCGGAATTGCACCAGAACGCCAGTCCTGGGAGCCGCGAATCACCGCTACTGCTACGTCTTGACGGTCTTGAATCGTGCCAGAACGCCGTCCCTGGGACTTAAACACCCCAAAACAACGTGACTGTTGCGCCCTGGCATTCTGACATCGTACCCAAACACGGTTTCTGGGCTGCTAACCATGAGAACTCTTGAAGCTGCTGCGAACTCTGAAGACGACTATGCCAGGCGCTAAAGCAAGAACCACATTTTGAAAAGGAGCCGCCCTCCATCCATGAAGCTCTTGCAGACTTAAAAAAAGAACATGAGCAACACTGAGGCGAGAACCACATTTTGAAAACGGACCGCCCTCCATCCGCAAAGCTCTTGTAGCTTTTTGTGTTAACGAATGTGCGCGGCGCTAAGGCGAGGGCCACATTTTGAAAGCTGAGGAGGAGGAGGAGAAGAGGGAGAGGTCTCGAGGAGTCCGGGGTGCTCCACGGGGGGTACCAGTCTCGGGCTGCGATGGTGTTCTTGGGGGGGGGGGGAAGGGGGCACCTAACCAGCTGCGCGTTTTCCTTTCGCTGCTTGATTTTATTTCCTGTGGATAGGCTGCGATCTTCAGAGCCCTCATTGCCAGTGCCAGAGGGGGCGGGGGAGGACGGGAGTAGAGGAATAAAAAACTGCATAAACATCAACTTTTGACGGTCCGCGCGGATTTGACCTACGCTGAACCCCCTCCCTGGCGCGCGGAGCGCGCCGCGGGGCGGCGCCGGAGGTGCCGCCAGGGGATCTCAGGCGCCGACCCAAGAAATCCGCGCGGACTTTTGCCGTCTCTTGGCTCGTCGACTGTTGCCAGTGTCAGAGGGGGGCAGGGGAGGACGAGCGAGGGGAGAGAGGGCATCTGGAGACTAGAACTGTGCTGGGAGGGCATCACCAGGCCTGGGTGCGCCGACGTGTCCAGTGGCGTGGCCCGTCGGCCCTCCCACGGGGCCCGACGAAGCGGGGGGCATCTCGCACAGCCGAGGGCGGCTCAGCGACGCGGCTTGCACAGCCGAGCGACGAAAAGAGACAGGCCTTACGCGAGATGACGCAGCGGCCTTACGCCGCGGCGTACGCGGGCCGCCAGCAAGGCATGCTACACTGGAGACGAGGGCGCGCACGCGCGAACTTGCGCGGGCAGCTTGCGCGCCAATGTCGGCGCAAACGACCGCGTCTTCTTCCGTCGCTCAGCTGGCTTTCCCGGCGCCTCACGGCGCTGGATGCACCTGTGCATCGAGGAAAACCGGCTGGCCGAAACCACCCAGACATCCCCCGAACTGTGTTTTCAGCTCTCGGCCCCAGGGCTCCGGACCCCTCCCCTGAAAGCCGTCGTTTGTCCACGATCAGCTCTTGATGGTCCCAAGGGTCGGTAAGAAGCCGACATCCCGGAAACATGCCCAGAACGAGAGAATCACAATGCTGGAAGTCTGGGGAGCTGCATGGAGAATCGGTCCGAACACCGCCCCCCTGCGCGACCCCCCCCCCCCCTCGTCCGACCCGAAGCCAAACGAGGGTGCCGCAACTCTTCGAAATGCTGGCCGGAACTCTGCCGGTTTGCGCAACGACAAGACCGAGAGAGCACGCTTGGCGCTGAGTCGCTGCGCTCGGCCTGCGTCGCTGCTGCACTCTCCCAGGACAGGGCGGGCACTGGCACCGCTCTCTGGTCATGGGCAGAGGTGCGGGGAGAGGACAGGGCGCCCTCGCTCCCAGCTGCCAGGCCGAGCCGGGCCAAGGCGGCAGGCCGCTCCTCAGGCCGGCAGCCCCGCGTCCCTCAGCAGGCGCTGGCCGTCCGGGCTCTGCCGCAGGCGGTGGGCTGCCGTGGCGAGCACCGCGCGGGCCTTCTGGGAAGCGGCGCCGGGGCGCCTCTGGAGGGAGAGGGAGGACTCTGGGGGGCCACATGCGAGCCGTACCCCTGCCCCCCCCCCAACGACTTCTGAGTGGGAGGGGCGGGGGTGGGGCTCGCATGTGGCCCCCTAAGAGCGAATCAGCATGCGGTCGGGAGCAGCTGCTTGTCCGCGTGCTGCCCCAGCAGCCCGGCGGCACGCCGTGCCCTGCAAGGGCGCGTCGCTCCGCTCCGCCGGGCAGGGGGCTCGGAAGAACTCGAGACGCTGCCGCTTTGGGAGTGGGCGGCGGCAAGCGTGTCGCGCCGAAGCGTGGTGGGCCAGAACTTTTTCCTCGCGGGCGCGAGCGGAAGCGCAGGCGCCGAGTCGAAAGGTCCGGGCCACGGGCCGATCTAATTAGCGTAGGCCAGAACGTACGGAGCGACAAACTATCCCAAAGTTCCCGACCGTGTGCACAAGTTATCGGAGCTCCGCGCGGCTTCCTTGGGTCGGCGCTGGGACCCCCTGGCGGCGCCGCGCACCAGTGAGGGGGAGAGCATGCCACGCATTGAAGGCGGTCCCCAAGCGAGGTGTGCCGCCGCTGCTGCCGCCACCTCGCGGCAACACGCCCCGGGGGAACGTCCTGCTAGGCAGCCCAACGTAGCATCCCGGAAAGTGAACAGTCGCCAGGACAGACGGTGCATAGAAAGGCGCGGAGGAGGAGGAGGAGGAGGAGGAGGAGGAGGAGGAGAAGGAGCTCCGACACAGAGCAATATACCAGCAAAAGGGCACAACCACCTCGCTGTCCCTTTGACCCTCACGCATTTGTCAGCCTCGGGCCCAAGATCCTCCGAGGCTGAATTCTATGACTCCGCATGTGCTGTGGAGTGCGATAGCCTATGACGGCCCTTCTTCCAAAAACGAGCCTATTTGACGGTCTCGAAGGGAATGCGATGTGCCTAACTATGACGGCCCTTCTGGATGCCCATGATGGCAGCACTGGACGAATGGCACGGGACTGAACGCCGATCCAGGACATCCGTGCGGAACTCCGAAGTCGATGCTTCTGCATCTTTGTCTCCTTCGAGCCTCAGCAGGGCGCGCAGGACGTTGCAGCCGCAGCGGGCCTGGGACAGCGAGATCACGTTCGCCTGCGTGCTTCCGACCAGCGCGAGGGCCAAGGGCTCCGCGTGCTCGGCCGCGCAAATGTCCAGGGCAGCCTCGACGACGTAGCAGTGGTAGTGGTTCCGGGCTTTGTCGGCGGCCCCGGCGCAGAGGAAGGCGAGCACCCTCTGCTGCTGCACGGGGTGGGCGTGTTCCACGATGGCCTTGATCACGTGATGCCCGAGCGCGTGGCGGCAGAGGCCGGCCACCTCCGCCAGCAGCTCCTCTACGAGCGCAGCCCTCCCCGCGTTGGCGAGCGTGTCCGCGCAGTGCTCGATGAGCCGGATGACCACCCGGCAGCCGTATCGGTGTCGTGCCGTCTCGGCGGCGCAGCCGCGCAGCTCGCGCGCGACGAAGTCCACCTGCCCAGGCGCCAAGACCTCCACCACCTTCTGCACCACGTAGTTGCCGTGCGGCGAGCGGACGATCGGCGGCGAGCCGGGGGGGGAAGTGAGAAGGAGAAGGGCTCCCCAGACGGCTCAAAGTCCCCTGGCCTTCTGAGAAGTCTTCTGCGCCGCCCTCGCGGGCACAGGAACTTCTCAGAGGGCGCGAGGACCTCTGAGGAGTCCCGCCGCCTTCCGAGCAGGCCTTCGCCTTCTCTCACTTGCCCCCCTCGCTCGCCGCCGAGATGAGGTCGCGCACGTGGCCGTGCAGGTCCTGGACGAGCTCCGCCGCGGAAACGTGGTCGGCAACCTCCAGGGCGCGCTGCACCACGCGGCACCCGGCGGGGTCCGCGGCGAGGCGCCGCACCTCGCCGAGCAGGCTGGCCAGGGCGCTGGCCCGCGCCGGGCCGCCGGCGTCGAGGCCCTCCAGCAGGCGCTGGCAGTTGTTCTGCTGCACCGCCGCCTCGCGGTCGCCCGCCCTGCCGCTGCACCCGCGGTGGCGCTGCTGGTTGGGGGGCCGAACGATGCCCATACCGCTGAGGTGAGGCTGTGTGAAGAGGAGAGCATTCAGCGCGGAGGTGTCCCCTGGCGATCGCGTGCAGCCGGCCCCGAAGGTCTCGTGCGGCAGGCATGAGTGTTGAATTGAGCTGCAACCGTGCAGATTTCCGATCCCGAGTTGTGGCCCGTCATGCTACTCATGCTGCTGCTGCTGCTGCCGCTGCTGCGCTCCATCCTCCTCCAAACTACTCCGCTGCAGAGTTACGGTGAGGGCGTTGGATAAAGAACCATCAGATAGGGAAACTCAGGGTCTGGAAGCAGGTGGAACTCCAATCGTGGATTGGCTGGATATCACCGCCGCCCTCATTAGATAAAGAATCCTCCAGGGTCTGAAGCCTCCAGGCACGTTCCTTACCGAACGCCCCCGCCGCTGCTCCCCGGGCCTCTCCCAGGGTGCGTGCTGCCCGGGATTTCGAGGCGAGTCTGGCGGTGTTGATCGGGCGGGTGATAATTGGGGGTGGCCTGCTTGGGGGGTGAAGAAGGGGGCCCCGAAAGGGCCCTGTAGGGCCCCTTTCTTCACCACCCGTGTGGGTCACCCACCCTCACCATCCGCCAGAGTTGACGAGGGAGGGCCAGCGGCATCGGCACCTTCTCCTCCCCTGCGCTGGGCCTGGGGCGGGGCGCCGCCGCGCGGGTGCGCCGCGCCCGCCTGCCACGGGCCGGCCCCCGAGGCCGCCTGCGGGGTGGCCTGCTGCACCACCACGAACGCCTGGCTCGCGCCCATCGGCGACATGAGCGCCTGCGGCACCCAGGCGCCACACGCCCAGACGGCCCCGCAGAAGAGCTGTTGCGCGCCCTGCTGCGCCTGCACGGGCACCAAGCACTGCACCATGGGCGCCGGGCCGCCCGCCAGGGCCGCCTGCCCACCCACAGCGGTCGCCTGCTGCCAGCCGGGGCACGCCAGCTGCCGCTGCTCGCGGGCGGACTCGTCCCACCGCCTGTGCGCCGCGTCGTCGACTTGCGTGCGCTCGTCTGCCTCCTGGAATGCGCAGCCGTCGTGGGACGCCACCGTCGGTGGCGAGCCGTCGGAGGCGCAGCCGTCGTGCGACGCCACCGTCGTCGTGTCGTCGCAGGCCGTGAGCCGCAGGGCCTCCGCCAACTTGGCCTCGACCTCTGCCCTCCGCCCCAACTTTTGCCGCTGCTGCGGGTCCACGCGCTCGCCTTGGCAAGCCGCAAGGTTTGTCGAAGAAAACGAGCACGTCGCCAAACAACAGGTGTTGTTCAAGACCGACAGCGGCCGCTGCTGGGTAAGCCGTTTGGCCAGGAACGGAGAAGATCCGCGGCGACACCGACAGTCAGCCCTTCTCAAGATGGGCAGGAACTACCATCGCTCTTCCTGCCCTCTAGTTCCGTACCCAGAGAGGAACAGAAAACAACATTCACATACCTTCTCGGAGGTCCGCGCGGCTTTCTCGGATCGGCGCTGGCCCCCCTGGCAGCGCCTCTGGCGCTGCCCCTGGCGCGCCCCGCGCGCCAAGGAGGGGGTATCGCAGCAGCTTCACCACGGTCGATCAGTTGATTCTGCTCTCGCCATGTCTTCCATGCGTGGCACGCCCTCCCTGGTGCGCGGAGCGCGACGGGGGCGGCGCCAAAGAGCCGCCAGGGGGGCCCAGTGCCGACCCGAGAGATCCGCGCGGAGCTCGGAGAAATCCTGTTCGTGCAACGTGTTGCTTTCGAACCCATTTCGATCGGACCGCTCGCCGGCGTTCACGAGGCCCTCGATCTTCTGCATCTCGCGCAACTTCTTCTCCAGCCTCAACACTTCCTTCGTGGCCGTGGGGGGGCCGCCGCTGTCGGGGCGCTGTGCCTGAGCGGCCTCTGCGTTGCACATCGCGGCGGCTGTGGTGCGGGAAGGGGGTGCGGTGTCGAGCTCGCCAAGCGTTAGAACTCAAAATGTCTTGAGCCAAAATGGCTCATTTCCCTTACGTGCCCTCCCTCTCCTCCTCGGTACTACTCTGATCCTCCACCGTGCCTTCAGCACGTCGCCTTTAGAGCGCACAAAAGGCCTCTAAGATGGCACTATGACAGCCCAAGAGAACCCCGAGAGGGGCCCAAACAAGACCCCAAGACGGCCCAAGGGCCCCCAAGACGCCCAAGATGGCATCGAAGACGGACGCGATGGCCTCCATGATGCCTCCAAGACGGCCAAGAAGGCCTCCAAGACGGCGAATATGGCCCCAAGATGCACCCAAGACGGCAACAAATGGCCTGAATATAGCCTTAGACTGCCCAAAAGGCCAGCCAGAGGCCTCCAAGACGGCCCAAGAGCCCTCCAAGACGTCCTTCCAAGAAACCCGAAAGCTCGGAAACGACCCGGTCCAATAGCTCGCCCGACTCCGTGTTCCCCGAAAGCTTTCGAAACCCACTCGGGAAACGTGTGGCCCGATAGCTTGGCCAAGCTCAAACCCAACTTTCGGCCACGCAGGCGCTTCCAAAAAGGCAGGGGCGGCGGTGATTCGCCGTAGACGTCTTCGATCCGCCGCCCCCTGTTGGCTTGCCACAGGGTTGCCCGGCGTGCCAAACTTGAGGAGGTCGTTGGTTCTCTTGGAACTCCGCCCTGGGGTTCGGCCCAGCGCGCCGGCCACCTGGAACATGTACATGTCAATGCCTTTCTCGTCCAAGATGGCCCAAGACGGATTCCAAGATGCCTCCCAGAGGGCCGAGATGGCCCAAGATTGCCCAAGATGGCCTCCAAGATCCCTCCACCACGGCCAACATGGCCCCTAATAGAGCCCAATCTGACCTCCAGATACACCCAAGACGGCCCAAGATGGCCAACGAGGACTCAAGAGGGGCCTCAAAGGCTTCCACGATGGTCCAAGGGGCCTCCAAAACATTCTCCTGGAAGGCCCGAAGAAACCAAACGTCTGTTTTTTTTTTTTTTATCTGTTTCAGAAGATTGTGAAGGATTCAGGATTTTCTGCTTTTCTGCTTCTTCGACAACTGGAGACGACCCAACAGCTCCCCAAGATCGGCCCAAGATCGCCCAAGAGGCATCCAAGAAGGTAAGACGGCCATGGAGCACCCCAAGACGATCCCAAGTCGGCCCACAGAGGCCCCCAAAACGGCTTCCGACGGCGCAAGACGGGCCAGGGGGCCACCACGACGGTCCAAGATGGCTCCACGATGGCCCAAGATGCCCCTGAGAGATTTCCAAAACGGCCCAAGAGTCCTACAAGAGGGCCTCCAGGAAGGCCCTAAGAGGCCAAAATCATGGACGTTCCTTAAATGTTAAACAGATTTTAGCATGTGTTCCTTTCGGACTTCCAAAGGCCCGAGACGGCCCAAGAGCCCCCAAAGATCGCACCATGATCGCCAAAGAGGCATCCAAGATGGCCCCAGAGCGGCCGAAGAGGCCGCCCCAAGAGGGCCCCAAGACGGCCCAAGAGGCCTCCAAGACGCCCAAACTGGCCTCCAAGACGGCCCTGGAGCACCCCATGAAGGCCCCAAGTCGGCCCAGAGAGGCACCCAAGACGGCTTCCGACGGGCCAGGAATGCCCTTGCCCCCGAGAAGCCCCCGAAGGCCGCCAAGAGGCACAAGGAGGCCCCCCAAGATGCCTCCAAGAGGCTCCCTGGATTCTCTCAGGAGGCCCCAAGAGTGACCCCCGTAGGCTCCCAAGATGCCCCCTTCTCCTCCTCCTCCTCCTCCTCCTCCTCCTCCTCCTCCTCCTCCTCCTCCTCCTCTTCCCCCTCCTCTTCCTCTTCCTCCTCCTACTCCTCCTCCTCTTTCCCCCATCTCCTCCTCCTCCTGCTCTTCCCCGCCATCCTCCCCCAAGTGTTCCTCGAAGGGTTTCCACAACGGCTAGGGGAACACATGGTCCGACAACTTGGCAAAGCTCTTGCCACAACGTTCGGCCACATGGGCGATTCCAAAAGGCAGGGGGGCGGCGGTGATTCGCCGTAGGCGTCTTCGATATCTTACTTGATGCTGCGTTTATGTTCCACCGCCTATCCGGCATACGTTGTCTTACACGGAATTGCCCCGATATCATACCTTTCGGTCTGGTGTTTTCCAATCAGAGCATCTTCGGACTTTCAGATGCTGGTGCTCCCACTACAACGTAGGCTGCATTTCAGGATCGGCGCGTTTGCTCCCGTCGCGTCGTTCAGAATGGCGCTCTAGCCCCAGCGCGAACCAGGTTTCTCCAATCGATTCCTTCGTCGTTGTCGCTCTGTGCTCTCCGTCTCCTCCTTCTCACTCGAAGTAGCCCTCCACCTTTTTCGTCCTTCATCCTTCTCCTTCTCATATGTCATCCTCCTCCTGCTCCTTCTCTTCCTATTCCCCACCTCGTCCTCATCCATGCCCTCTCTCCCTCCGTTGTCATTCTCGTGCTCCTGATTCTCCCTCCATCTCTTCCTCCCCATCCTCCTGCTACATACCCCTCCTCCTCCTCCTCGTCCTCCTCCTCCTCCTCCTCCTCGCTGTTGCTCATGCGCACGCTACTCGCGCTACCATATCGGCCCCCCTCTCGTCTGTCGAATATGCACCGGCGATGATTGAAAAGGCTGCAAGCAAATGTGCAATAACAAGGTATTTCTCGATGGCCTTCTGCTGGTCCAGCCTCGACAGCCACCATTAACCGCAAGTCCGACAAGGCTGGCGACGCTTGAGCACAGACACCTGAAGACTGAATGCGCCCCCCCTGTCAACATGCCGCCGCCGAGCAACAAGCGAGAACTCACGGGCCGCAACAAGGCGTCGGGCTCGATCGCGGACTCCCGACTCGATCACGAGCAGTAAGACATCGTCAGCATGCTCGTCGAAACCGCCCAGGCGAGTTCTCTGGCGATGGGGGATCATGTGGCAGGTGTGCATCGGCACGCGGCTCGCGGACTCGAGACCTGCCCGAGGCCGAGGCCGCGCCGGAAGCAGGCCCGGGGCACTGGCAAAGATGCGCGCGAAGGGCCATAACCTGGGCAGCCCGCATACGTTGAGGAACTGTTGCTCAGCGCGTCTCGGCGGCGGCCCCGTCGACATGATAATGCCTTGCGAACCGATAGCGTGTCACCCCGCTCTGTGGGGCGGAGGGCTGGGCAACAAAAATTGGACGTGAACGCCTAGTGACCAGGACTTGGTTAGCGAGCCGCGCCGAGGCGTGGTGGGCCGGAACTGGCGACGCGACACGCTGGGCAAACGTTCCTGACCGTGCGTGTATCCAGCGGTGCGTGAGCAAACCGTCAGAGCGCGGGAGCAGACTGGACACCAAGACCAAGGACCTCCGAGGAGCTCAGGCACTGGCAAGCGGAGCTGATCCTGGGGACAGGGAATCGAAGAGGTGTGGACCCAAGTTCGTCTTCCGGGAATGGTTGAAGTGGTACGGCCAGCGGGAGAAGGAACCACACCTGTGCGACCAGAGCGCGGCCCTGCTGGACTGTCTTGGACGCATCGGGCAAGCGTTCCATTCCGGCCGCCGCGCTTGTGCGGAACTTCTTCAACAAAACGCTGGGCGAGGTCGGGGCCAAGTGCGCTATCAGAGCCGCCCTGCTAGAGGCAATTGGCGAAATGATGCTGAGCACCATCGGCGATAATTGCCCACGCGTGCTACCGTGCTGGTGCTGATCAAAACACGTGCGAGGCATGATTCTGCGTCCCCAAGAGGGGGGGATGGGACGCCTAGTGGCCTGAAGGGCGAACCTCCTCAGGATATACTCACACCCCATGATTGCTTGATAGCTCCTCAGTTCTTGGCCTGGGCTCTTTGGGTGGTAAACTGTGACTTCGCTGCGCATCGGCATTGCATCTACCCGTACAACGCGACGGTTTTCTCATCGTCGCCGCCCTCTCCGCACGTGGGAGTTACCTCGCCAGGGACGAGGTTGGGGGGTGGGTGGCTCTGGTGAGTTCGAGCCCAGTGGGGGAGGAGTCCCCTCCCCAGCATGGCCGCTCGGGGCGGACGAACGGGGGAATAGCAGCGGCGGGGGTAGCGAATCGGCTGCACGCAATTGGTTCTCCGAAGGAATGCGCCCGCTGGCGGGGCCGAAATGGGCTGCACGCAGTGGAGCGTCGCACCTCCTCCCTGTTCCAGTCTGCCCGCCCCGAGGCTCCAGCGGGCCCCCTCAGCGAGCGCATCCTTCAGCACGCCTGCAAGCTGCCTTTTGGCGCTCCCTTCTCTCCAGTTCCTTTCGGGCCTCCCCCCCTCCTGCCCACCCCCCAGCGCCTCGCCGCGCTCATTTGGTTGCTCTTCGCCCTCTCGATATCTGAGCGCCCCATACGACGGCGCGACTGTCCCCCAGAGCCGAGGATCAACCTGCTGGGGCCCGTCCAGGACCCTCCCTGCACCTCGGGGCGGGTAATCTAGCTTCGGCTGGCAGCAACGTCATGGTGCATTTGCTTGCACATGTGCGCGCCCACACCGTCCGCACTCGTCGCGCGCTCACGGATACTACAACATCCAGGGCCCGCTGGTTCCCTCTGCCTTGCGTGAATTCGTGGGCTTCCTGAGTGCTGAGCCTCCCCATGCCGCTTGATCATTACTCCTCTGCCTGACTCTTCCCACCCCATCCTCCCTCCATCCCCTGCGCCTCCTCATCCCCCCCTCCTCCATCTGCCCAGATCGACCAGCATCGCCGATGCGTCGGCGTTGCGGCGGGATGCCTGGACCCCATCTAATGCGGACGCCATCCGGGCTGCCTGATTCTGCCCTCCACCACATGCCAGTCGCCGGAAACCCCGAGTCCAAACACCAAGACCTCTCGTGGTCGTTAGATTTACCTCCGCCAGCGAAGCCGCTCTCGTGCTGCGTCTGCCACTCTCCCGCGGGGAAAGAGATGTCGAGCCCTCGATGCCTCCAACGCGAGGCCGCGTCTGGAACGCCCCACAACCCCCTTCCACAACTGCACCTTCTCCTATCTCCCCTCTGTGCGGAAGATGCTCCGCCCTCTCCGCATGCCGCTTTTGACACACAGGATTCCAAGCTTTCTGCGTGTCCCCCCTTGTG